CCTTTTTGGACTTGTTGCCTCCACTTCCTTATCCTTGAAGGACAAGGAAGACACTCCCTCTATAAATAGAAGAAGAGGTGCGACAAATAGGGGACTAAGAGTTAGGCATACACAAGACAAAAGAAAAAAATAAATAAAATAGTTTTCTCTTTCCCAAAGACACGCCACCTTTCTCTCTTTCAATTAGGGTTGTCGTAAAATATCTTTGAATAGATTTCTATAGAGAAAACATTAAATAAGTCGAAAAAGATGGAGTTAGCATTCTATAACTTTTGAATGCTTTTTATATGGATGCTTGAACTCGTATGGATTATTGATAGAGGTCGAACACTTAGACGACTCGTTTTCTATAAAGGTTAAATCCGTGCTACAAGAGATAATATTTTACTCACACTTAAATTCATGTATATATGATTAATTGATTCAACAGACTTGATATTGGGAGCCTTAGATGGAATTTTTTTATTTTATTTTATACCTCCATAGGATGTATGATCCTTCACTATCTTAGTCATCTATATATCTCCATTAGATTTCTAGTGCACTTAACAAATCACCCACATGCAACCGTTGATCGAGTCAATCGATACGGGTGTCAAAGTACATAAATTCTTTAATGAGATAATCGTGATGAGTTCAAGTCAAAGGACTAATTGTACTCATCTCATATGAGATTCTCATTGACTACACAAAATGGGTCTCATATCGAGTCATATCCAAGTGATATATTCTCTAACATAAATCACTTAAGTGTTTGTTACGGCATCACCATGCCAATAGGTGTGAGATCTTCTAATACTATCTTATAGCATGAGCATGGAACTCGTAAATCTTATCGCATATAGTCAATGTCCATTTTTGGCAATGCTACGACTTGGGATATTTAATGTTATCATTTTAATGCATCAATGTTCATCCCAAATCAATTGATCAGTTATTAATGCATTATATATCATATGGACTTTTATCTAATTTTATCAAATTATAAATAACAAAAAATACAGCATTATAATAAATCAAACCATCCAAATAAGGTTGAATTTTAGGCACCTACACTAACACTTACGAGGTGAGGATCTCTTCTCGCGAAATAGGGGGTAATTAAATTGTTAGCACCTAATTTTTATTGTAGTTAATTTTTTTAAATTCATGAGTTATATATATATATATATATATATATATATATATATATATATATATATATATAAGAGGAAGAGGAAAAAAAGAAGAAAATTATTTGAAAAATGATTTGGATGATCTAATTAAAAGAAATAGGAAGTTTAGGAATCAAAGAAAACCTAATTGAGGGTGCAATTGAAAAGTCCCAAACTTGAAATCCTTAATTAAAAGAAAGAAAGGGCACACTTATGAGAAATTGTTTTAAAAAAGGCCTTAATTAATGGTACCATTGAAATATGAATAAGTAAAATTGCATCGAAATTGAAAATTGGGAGAAACCAAACACCAAAATTAGTGTTTACCCAAAACCCAAATTTTTCCTCTATAAATACCTAACCTCCTTAGCCATTTAAGGTAGTCATAAATACCAAAAAGAAAAAAACCCTAAAAACTATCAAACAACCCTAAAGAGCATAATCCCGACTCCGTTTACCTACCGGACCCATTTTTGATTCTTTTCACCAATCGACTAATTTCTAACCAAATCAAACTCCCACAATAATTCAAAAGTGTTCCCCACCCAAAGTCGACCAAAACCCCTCAAGAAATCGGCTAAAAATACCCAAAATCGTCAAAAATTGCCAAGATTAATCACAATTAACCCATTTCTTCTCTCTCAAATTTGGCCATTTTCCAGTTAGATTGAGAGTTGCCATTACCATAGAAGGCTTCCTCAAGCCTTCGGTAACCATTCTCCTCTTGTAAGTGTGGAAGAAGCACCTAAATCGATGATAATTTATCGACGGACCGATCCCAACCTCGTTTAACACAACTCGACCAAATCTTTCATTTCTTTGATCAAATTGAACCTCCCGACTATCGTTAATCCCTTGAGTCAACTTGGCCAAAATTTTACCACTCGTCGATCTCTCTCCTCACTCGCGACAACGATGGTCGCCATTATAGAAACATAAAGGAAGTCCTCATTCTCTTATGGATTTAAAGGTTTTGAATTTGATTTATGTGATTTTGGGAGGCTAAAATTTGATTTGATTGGGATTTGAAGTACGTAGTATTTAAGTTTATAGTTATTCTTATTTTTACTATTTTTATTTTTAATAATAATGGGTTAAGGATGAATTTCTTAGTATCTTAATTTTATTTAGGAAAAATCAAGTAAAGTTTATTGATAATAGTAGTCAAAACCAAAATCATCATGAATTCATGAAAACGCACATCAAATTTATTTCAAAAAACTAAAAGAAGAAAACACAAAATGAAAAACAAAATTTAGAAATAGAAAAAAGAGATAATCATGAAATCATCAAAACTATTATCGAATGTGGAGAGGATTTGTAGCATGTATATTTGTGTTTACTATGAAACATTTGCTATGAAACCAATCCAACATGAATCTCCCTAACTATTCTCGAATTTTAATTTAGTTTTTTTAAGTTATGGGTTCATGTTTTTTATCTTTGGTAGGAAACAATAGGGCTTCTCTTTACTTTTATGTTGAAGACATTTAATTGTCATATTCATGTACATGTATGACCATATTTAGCATCATATAGTTAAATTGTCCAGATTCGAGTAAAAAATACAAAATTATTGTCACTAGAAATTTAAGATACAATTCTTTTGATTTTAACTTTACCAATGCTAATCCAAGTTCCAAGCACTAATTATATCCTTGAAAATTTGCTACCATTTTCCACCAATAACCACTCAATTATTTCCTGTTAGTTTCAAGCACCAATTATATGATACATGTATAGATTTTTAATTTCCTCCCTACCTTTCCATTTTATTTATAGTTATATTATTATACACGGTTAACCAAAAACCTTACTTGACGATACTGTCTATTGACAGGATAACTACAACAACCGATAACATCTTTGTTTCCTCTACTTAATCATCAATTTAGTTATGTCACCTTTTGCTACAAACAAACAATAAACATAATTGACCTACCATTCAACTTTTGACTGGACCAAAAAGAAAAAAGCAAGTTCGGATTGTGTGGTTGAAAATTTTGCAATTATAGTGTTTGTTAGGTAAGGTCTGCAGGTTTGCAAACACAACTACATAAGGTCTTTATAAAATATTTGGCACATGTTAACATTACTCTCCTCCACCCAAAAACAAAAACAAGAGCCATGGCTAATCACTAGAACCTCGTTGCTCAACAAACACAAACGAGGACGGTATTAATTCTTTTTGCTTTTCAATCTTATCATAATGTATGTATTTTTTTCCTATCTAATTCTTTGAGGTTCACAATCTAAATTTGACATTTCTAGCCATGATAGCATGAGGCCGCATAATGAAAACCGATCAACCATTGAGCACGTATTCCAACCACCAATCGATAATATTGAGGTTTGTGAAATTCTTTGTCAATTTGTAAAATAAAATTATTAAACATCCCGTGATATATATATATATATACTCGCTCATTAATTATTTTTTTAATAGAGAATTTGCTACACAATAAAGGGCACAATAGTTTATGTCGATGTAAGTTTTGGCTAGTGGTTTTCAGCATGTCCGCTATGTGACCGCTCGGCAAAAAAAAACAATAAATGTCTACTCATGCACAATCCATGACATACTCATTAATGATCTCATCCCATAGTAAGCAACTCCAAACATCACAAATTAACTTTTTCCTTTACAATAAAAAGTATTCGAGTGCCTTTTTGTTTAATACGCATATAAAAGCACATTAAGTCTTCTTTTTATTACCCTAGCCTATCTTTTTTCCCTTTTTTTTCTTTTATTTTTTACGGGTATAACATAACTTGCACCGTTCGTGATCATGCATCCGAAGCTAGGCTTCTACTCACTAAAAATGTGGTCGCATCATGTTTTGAATATACATGCAAGAATTAGTATTTGACTTTGGATATGCTCGACAAAAACTCGCTCCCATGATAATTACTAAATACCATTGATAAACTCAAGATTTTTTTGAATTCGATGCAATCTTTTACCTAACACATCATTGAGTTGCCATTTCATTGCAACTCCTATCTTCGATGTCAACAACATAGCCCCATAAATACCCTATCATCCTCATCCACATGCCCGAATCATCGGACATGCCATGAAGGGCAATAATGGTAGAATGCAAAAAGCTTTGTAATTCCATTTATGCATCGTTTTATAATATTACAAGCATTTTGTTTTCTCACAATGTGCTTATTCCCTAAGATAAAAAATAAACATTCTAAATAAAAATATTATATAAGGTTCGGATTAAAATTCCACCAAGCAAACTTGATCCTGTGTATGTGATGGTTATTCGATCACAACGTAATACGGGTATCTTATTAGTAGATACTAAATAACATGAACTTGACCTGTCCTCGCTCTTCAAAGCCCAAATCTCTCTTCCTTTCACCCTTTGCTCAAATCTCCCTTTGAAACGAAAGAACCCAAAATCAGCACTACTTTTTCGCCACTTATTACAATCTATTGTGAAACCAAATGATCTTGCTTTTTCATTGCTTCTTAAATCCTCTACTTCAAATCCACTAAATAAAAAATAGAAGTCAATCAGATTGAAACCCACTTGCTTCTTATTACGGGACCAGATTTAATGTCGTTATTTTAAAAATTTGACACTGGAACAAATGTAAAACACAAACTAAATATTGAGTAATAATGTTAAGACAAAATTTAGCAAAAAGAGTCGATTAAGACAAAAAATAAGAATAGAGTAACCCTTACCTCTCTCTCTCTCTCTCTCTCTCTCTCTCTCTCTATATATATATATATATAAGGCACGTCTCAACAACAGGGCGAGAAATAGAGGTTGGAAGTTAGAAGAGCCCACCTTGCAATTGCTGCAAATCCTAAGCTAAGCTAATCAAATGCTAAAGCCACAAAGAAAGGCGTATGTGCCATTCAGATATGCGCCATTTCTATTTAAACCAAATGCTGGCACACCCTCCTCTCCTCTAGACCACATTAAGCTTTTAAAACTATCAGCTGATACTAAAAACCTCAAGGCTGGTAAAACAATCCATGCCCATTTGATCATAACTAACCAAACCACCCAGAGCAACAGGATTGAAGTTAATTCCTTGATAAATTTCTATGCAAAAGTTAATCAAGTCTCGGTTGCCCACAACTTGTTTGATAGAATGTCTGAAAGAAATGTGGTTTCTTGGAGTGCTTTGATGACTGGGTATTTGCTTAATGGATTTTCTTTGGAAGTGATTAGGTTGTTGAAAGATATGGTTTCAGAAGGTAATGTGAGCCCGAATGAGTATATTTTTGCCATTGCTATTTCTTCCTGTTGTGATCGTGGGAGAATTGAGGAGGGTAGGCAATGTCAAGCGCTTGTGGTAAAGACTGGATTTCTGTTTTATAGTTATGTGAGGAATGCTCTTGTATCTATGTATTCTAGATTTTCGATTGTTCGAGATGCAATGGGGGTTTGGAATGAAGTGCCTGGAAATGATATTGTTGCTTATAATTCGATTTTGAGTGGATTTTTGGAAAACGGGTATTTGAAGGAGGGTTTAGAGGGTCTGAGGAGCATGTTAGGTAAGTCTATGAAGTGGGATAAGGTTACTTTTGTTAATGTTTTTGGTCTTTGTGCTTCCCTTAAAGATTTTAAGTTGGGTTTGCAAGTCCATGGCAAGATGTTGAGGAGTGATGTTGAATGTGATGCATATGTTAGCAGTGCAATCATAAATATGTACGGGAAATGTGGAAACAGTTCGATGGCAAGGGGTTTTTTTAATGGTTTGCAAAGTGGTAATGTGGTGTTATGGACTGCTGTCATGGCTGCTTACTTTCAAAATGGTTGCTTTGAAGAAGCACTGAATTTATTTTCAAAAATGGAACATGAAAATGTAAAATCAAACGAATTTACATATGCTGTCTTGTTAAATGCTAGTGCAGGGCTGTCTGCACTAAGAATTGGGTCTTCGTTACATGGGCACTGTGAGAAGTCAGGTTTTAAGCAACATGTTATGGTTGGAAATGCTTTAATAAATATGTATGTGAAGAGCGGTAACATTGAGGCAGCTATGAAAGTATTTTCAGATATGATGCATCGTGACATTATTACTTGGAATGCAATGATATGTGGCTTGTCACATCACGGCCTAGGAAAGAGAGCTCTTCTTGTGTTTCAAAACATGTTGGCTGCAGAAGAGCATCCTAACTATGTAACTTTCACTGGGGTGCTCTCTGCTTGTGGCCATCTGGGTCTAGTGCAAGAGGGATTCTATTATTTGCACCACCTAATGAAACAGTTTGGTGTCCAACCTGGATTGGAGCACTATACTTGTATTGTTGGCCTTCTAAGCAAGGTTGGACGACTTGATGAGGCTCAGAATTTTATGAGCACAGCACCAGTTAAATGGGATGTTGTTGCCTGGCGTACTTTGCTCAATGCGTGCCATGTCCATCAGAACTATGGCTTAGGAAGGTGGGTTGCAGAATCTGTCTTAGAGATGGACCCTCATGATGTAGGAACATATACTCTATTATCTAATATGTATGCCAAGGAAAAGAGATGGGATGGAGTTGTCAAGGTTAGACAGTTGATGAGGGACAAAAACATTAAGAAAGAACCTGGGGTGAGCTGGATAGAGATAGGAAATGCCACCCATATATTTACTTCGGAAGGTAATAAGCATCCAGATTGTAGTCAGATTTATCATAAAGTAAAGGGGCTTTTGGCTATGATTAAGCCACTGGGTTATACTCCAGATATTGGTGCGGTGCTGCATGATGTAGAGGATGAGCAGAAGGAATATTATCTTAGTTATCACAGTGAGAAGTTAGCTATAGCTTATGGTCTTCTGAAAATGCCATCAGAAGCATCCATCATTGTAACTTAGAACCCTAGGATGTGTGATGATTAGCATTCAACTGTGAGACTTATTTCAAAGGTTACAAACTGGGTGATCATTTTTAGAGATGCCAACCGTTTCCATCACTTTCAAGATGGGGAGGTGTTCTTGCGCAGATTACTGGTGACAATTATAAAAATTGCATGTTGGGCAAATAATAAGGTGGTTATGGCAACGTATCAGCTTCCATGGTGGCCTAAGGACCTTGAACTTGTTAGAAGCCCCTACCAGATCGATATATAGTAAGCTGCGCCAATTGTTACAGATATTATAGGCTGAAATTGTAGGAATCAATAACTTGATTGTAGGCTGACATGTAGGAGTCAATAACTTGGTTACAGGTTGACTTTTAGGAGTTAAAGACATAGTGTGTATATATATGTGTATTTGCTTGTGAATAAAACACCGAAAAAGTTTTTTATTTCTCATGTTTTACATGTTATCAAAGCCCGGTAGAGTGACCAATTATTCTCTTTTTCTTTTTCTTTAATTGTCTGCCCAAGTGAGCAGTGTGCAAATTTTTTGGGTCACCCCTGTAGAGTGACTAGTTATTCTCATCTAGTCTTGCACAACGCATATTTGTGTTATTTTGCTCCAACATTCAGTCAGGTGTGAGATCTCCTTCAAACTAGGATCCTTTTTTTTTTTTTTTTTTTTTTCCTGGGTGTGTTTTGCAAAAAGCTCGGTGGTTCCAATTATCTGGATTAGAGTAAGACAATTTGAATTTATCTAAGGAGTATTGATAAGGATAATCACCTTACTAAAGATCCACCCACAGATGGTTCGAAACGGACATGGTAGAGAGATGCTCGACTATTTTTGCGGATATGGAATTTCATCAACACCGAGGTAATTGGTTTGATTAATCATTATGAATTTGTTAAGGAATTGATGGAATATCTAGATTTCTTGTATTTTGGAAAAGGAAATATTTCTCGCATGTATGAGGTGTGCAAAGCTTTTTACCGTGCGAGAGAAACTAGATAAATCTCTCACATCTTACTTTATGGAGTTTAAGAAAACCTATGAAGAACTTAATGTTTTGTTATCATTTAGTGTTGATGTGAAAGTTCAGCAATCTTAACGGGAGCAAATGGTTGTCATAAGTTTCCTAGTTGGTCTTTCTTCCGAGTTTGAAAATACTAAATCTCAAATACTCTCTAGTCCCGAGATTCCTATTTTGTAAGATGTATTTACTAGGATGCTTCACACGGACAACACTCCATCTATTTTGCTTACTCCATCCGTTTAGCTTACTAGTGCTTTTGTGAGTTGAAGTGGTAGGTATAACGGGAGTGGTAATAGAGGAGGGGGACCGTTGAATTTTAGAGAAGAGAAAGAAGGAAAACACTAGGGTTAACGTGATTCGGTCATTAGACCTACATCCACAGAAGAGATCTTTCTTTATTTTATTATGTGTCCGTTATGTTTTACAATGGAGGAGGACTCTTCCTTTTATAGGGGACCAAATACACTAGAATAGGAAGAAAATAATAGGGCGAGAAAATCGGAAAGATAATAGGACGGAAAATCGAGCTCGATTTTCCGTGATTACAAGTCCTTCCTAAAATAGCAAAGAATATTCCCCACATATTATGTTTTTCCACTCTCCTCCTCGAGTTGGTGCTTAGGTGTTCTCCATTCCCGACTTGGATAAAATACTTTGAAACATTGAGCTATTTAACCCTTCGGTAAGCACATCGACAAGTTGACCATGTGTAGACACATACGGTGTACAAATCGGATCACTCTCCAACTTCTCTTTAATGAAGTGTCTATCAATTTCGATGTGTTTTGTTCGATCGTGTTGTACTAGGTTGTGGGCTATACTAATTGCGGACTTGTTATCACGATAAAGTCTCATCGGACCATCCCACTTAACCTTTAAGTCTTTTAGAATGATCTTCAACCATAGTAGTTCACACACTTCGAGCCATTGCTCGGAATTCGCCTCTCGCACTAGACCGTGCAACTACATTCTATTTTTTACTCCTCTATGTCACAAGATTTCCACCAAGAAAGGTGCAATATCCAGTAGTTGACCTTTTGTCAATAATTGACCTAGCATAATTAGCATTCGTGTATGTCTCAATTGCTAAACCTCTATTCCTTCTAAACATAATACCTTTCTCTAGTGTTCCCTCGAGTTACCTGTAACACTCGGTGAGTTACCCGTAAATGAACTTTCTTTGGGTTATGCATAAATTGACTAATCACACTAACTATATATGCTATATCTAGACGCATGTGAGATAGATAGATGAGTCTTCCTACCAACTGTTGATACATCTCCTTATCCACTCGTAACGTTTTTTTCAGCCTTTTCAAGTTTAAGATCCCGATCTATTGGAGTACTTGCTAGTTTGCATGTTGTCTTGCATGTGTCTTTGAGGAGATCCGTAATATACTTTTATTAGGAGATAAAAATACCCCGCCTAGAGTGAGCAACCTCAATCCCGAGAAAATATTTCAACCTTCCTAATGCTTTGATCTCAAATTCCTTAGCTAAATATTGACTCACGATCCGTCTCTTTTTGTCATCATCTCCGTCACTATTATGTCATCAACATAAACCAAGAGAACTGTAACTTCCTCTAAAGGTGAGTGTTTAATGAACAATGTATGATCCCCTTATCTTTGTCCGTATCCCATAGCTATCATAACTTTAGCAAATCTCCCAAACCATGCTCGTGGTGATTGCTTTAGGCTATATAAGGCTTTCTTCAACTGACACACAATATTAGCAACCAAGTTTTTCCCATAACCTAGTGGAACCTTCATATAGATTTCTTCCTCTAATTCTCCATGGAAGAATGCATTTTTAACATCAAACTACCGTAAATCCCAACCATAATTAGCTGCTAATGATAACAAAACTCGAATAGTATTCATTTGCAACGAGGGCCAAGGTCTCTTAATAGTCAATTCCATAAGTTTGAGTATACCCCTTGGCTACTAACCTTGCCTTGTATCTTTCTATGGACCCACCTGCTCTATACTTCACTCGTATACACCCATTTGCACCCCACGAGTTTCTTTCCAATTGGCGACCTTCACCAACTCCTAAGTTTTATTTTTTTCCAATGCTTCCATCTCCATATTCATAGCTTGTTTCCATTTCTCATTGGACAAAGCCTCGGATAAGGTGGTTGGGATGGTAATGGTATTTAAACTAACAAGGAAGGCTCCTATGAGATGGTGAAAAATTCTTAAAGGATAAAAAGTGTGCAAGAGGGTATAAAGGTTGTTTGGTGCATTCTTTTGTTCCTTTCCTAATAGTAATAGGAAGGTCTTGGTCATCAATCCCCTCATGAGATCCAAATTCATTATACAATAAGGGATTAGAAATTGTTAACTCATTATTAGGATTTGGGTTGGATTTTTGGACTCGTCCAAATTTAGGAGCACCCATCTTCTTCCTTGTGCACACTTTTCCTTCGCCATATCTCACATTTTCAAAAGTAGAGTTGGTTGTTGTTTCTTAAGGAATGGGTTCAAGAGGATATTTAGGAGAATTTTCAGAAATGGATGGTGAAATAGGCTTTTCAATAGATAAGTTAGACATAGGAGGGGTGCTAGAAAAATTCCTTATCTTCCATGGTAGATGCTCCCTAGAAGATAAGAAGTGGTAAAATAAGTCTCTTGTTCGTTGAAAATGAAGTCTACTCGAAATATAAAACCTTTTAAATGGAGGATGATAGCATTTATACCCCTTTTGATTATAAAAGTAGCCTACAAAGATGCATTTTATTACCCTTGGATCCAGCTTTTCCCTATTTGGACTATGGACATGGATGACTAGCACACACCCAAAAACTTTAGGAATAAGATTATTTGTAGTATGGAGGTTAGGGTAGAAGGTTGAGAGTACTTTCATTGGACTTTTAAACCTCAATACCCTGAAGGTAAACGAGTTTATGAGATGAGTGGTCGTAAGAATAGCTTCCCCTCGAAAGATTTAGGCACATGGTTTTGGAATAACAAAGCTCGGGTTGTTTTGAGGAGGTGATCATTCTTCCTTTCGGCTACTCCATTTTATTATGGGGTGTAGACACAAGATGACTTGTGTATTATTTCTTCTTTCCGAAAATATGGAGTTAGGATTTAATTAAAATAATCCCTAGCATTATCCGACCTAAACCTTTTGATGCTCACTTTGAATTGGTTTTTAACCATGGAATAAAAATTTGAGAGAACAAGTACTAACATCGGATTTATGTTTGAGTAAAAAAATTCAGGTAACACAAGTGCAATCATCAATAAATGACAAACTATTTTACCCCGTAAACATTAGGAATAGTACATGGACCCTAAATATTATTGTGAATGAGATAAAAAGGAACATAACTTTTATTAGTACTAACTAAAAAAGATGTACGCTTGTGTTTAGCAAGCTCACACACTTCACAATGAAAGTTTTCAACATTTAGGGCTTTAAACAAAGAGGGAAACAAAATTTTAATAACCCTAAATGATGGATGTCCAAGTAGACGATGGTAAAGCCAAAATTTCTCTCGTATTGGAGAAAGAATTTCTTAAATGAAGGAATGAGATAATCTACCCTTGGTAATGGTTGATTGACTTGGTATTTTAAGGTAGCGAAGTCATCCCGTACTTTAACATGTCCAATAATCTTCCCCAAATCCTTGTCATGAAATACACATTAACTAGGATTAAAAATCACTTTACAATGTAAATCTCGAGTGAGTTTGTTTATAGAGATAAGGTTTGTAGACAATCTAAGGACATGAAGGATATTTTTCAGAATTCGAGATGGACTTATTTGGGCATCTCCTACACCTGCTACTATGGTTAAAGTCCCATCACTAGTGGCTATTTTTCTACCACTTAGACATAGAGAATAGGTGGTAAAATTATTTGATGAGTGCGTCATGTGGCTAGTGGCTCTTGAGTCTATGACCCAAAAGTTGGAAAATATTGTACCCGAGATATTTAATCCAATAGAGAGTGGAAACTTACTCGAATAT